TCAAATGTCGCTGGTCAATTGATTTTAGCGCTAGGTGAGAGCTCGTCACACGGAGGTTGAGTTTAGACACAGCGATGGCGACAGGTGTCGCGACAAAGGCTTAGGTCCAGAGTTGTCAGCGTGAGACTCCCTGTACGAAGCGGCGCTGAAAGTTAGTTCGCGATCGGAATTATTTCTTTGGTGGCGATCTCGCTGAGTTTGTCCAGCAGTGGCGAGTCTCATATGCATAGCAATGAAGAGCCCTCATAAAATCGACACTGGATACTGGTGACGACGATAGTCAGTGCTGGAGTAAGAGCGACTGCGAGGAGAAGCTGAATGTCGACCCGCTGAGCGATCCGTATTTCTAGTATTTTCTACATCGGCAACAATGATGCTGCAGACACTGACGGAGGGCTTCTCACGGCGCAAAACAGCGTAGTATTATCAGGACTCTACCTTGTCAGACGACGCCAAGCTGGCTGCTGCCTGTGCTGAGAAAGGGGATCCCTAAAAACTCAAACCGGCTGAACGCTTTGGGGCAACATCTTCACGTGCTACAAAACGCGAGTATTCGCTCATATCATTGAAATACAATTATGCTGAAATCATGGTCTGAGTGAAAGTGTGCAAGGGAGTGGATGTCAGTAGTATTGGTCAGTACATCTATCAGTATGGCAAGCTTTGGGACAACACTCAAACTGCCAGCACAGAGGTCCCTGAACACAATTTGGAAGGCCAGCCACCAATCATCGTTTTGCACTCTGGTGTTGTAAAGAAGGTAGTGATGTATACGGAATATCGTCACACTTCTGAACTACTCATGCCTGCAGCACCAAGAGGGCAAGCCTGACTTGCATTCTGTTTACTTACATGTACCTGTTCCACATCACAATTAGAAACTGTAGGATCAACTTGCATGGAGTCACTAGGCATGGATGCGGCGCCAACTGTACCGAATCTTGACCTGTGTGACTTCAAACTCTATTTTCCATGCTTTCGCTTATCAGATTGCCACCAAACTTGATAACTTGAATGATTAATAGTGTAGAAACAATTTCGAGGGAAAAAATAATTTTTGAAAAAATTACACATGTTCAGGTTTCTGCTGGCTGGGGCAGTAACTGTTACTGTGGAATGTCGTAAATGTCTCTCGCGTCGACATCAGCTCTCAGAGTCATGAGTAATGACTGTTCATACATGTGTAGATCGTCATAGTATTACATGGAGATAAACCTTGTTTTTTTGAAAACAGAATTCTTGTTGGCTGACAGCATGTTGCAAGGCGGAGGACCGTATTCGGAAACAGTGACCTTTACTTACAACCATGTACCAATCCACGGTTGAATGACAGAGCCCAGGCACTAGGTCTTGCGACCATTTGAACCGTATGGGTGTTAGCCCTGGTTCTGACCCTCATTATACCAGGGAGTTGTTGGAGTTTAAACTCGGATACTGAGCCAGTAATAAAATGTCGCTGAATGTCTCAGTAGCCTGTCAGCTTTGTGCCCTATTATCGCACTTTCTGACCGTTTATCATCTCGTTACAGTCGTGGATAGTTGCTGCATAACTCGTTCTCATGTGTTTCTTCTCTTTTTTTACAGTTGTTTGAGTCTTCTTGTTATTGTACTGTCAGTCGTGTATTCTTTGTTTCCCTTTCTGGAGAAGCTCCACCGGGTCGCTTCTTTATGTATACAATAAATGAGGAGGCCGAGGGTTTATGACCAATAAAAACTATTATAAAAACCGAGGTCCCCCGAGTTTTTATTGGTCATAAACCCAAGGCCGGAGCATTTATTGTATTTAGAATCAACCAGTAAAAACTCCTACTCAATCTCCAACAACAAAATTAGTGGACAGCTGTTATTTGTGTTTCTATGACAACTCTTGTGCTGGACGAGTATTTGTTGTCATTAGTTCAATTTCTTTTACTCTTCATAGGCTATCAGATCATTTTCCTTATTCGGTCTTTTTATAACCAGTAACTATATGAGAGTGTGGTCTATCTCCATGGTTACCGGTGTTCTTTTCATAACTATAGCCACTTCTCCTTGTTAGACCTTATCTGGAAGGCCCGTTCTTGAATATTCCAACAGCAGCCAAGGGAGCTAGCTCTCTTGGTTATGCGGACTGGGTCCGATCGCAAAAAGCTGTTTTTATAAACTGTTTTATGAACTGTTTTTATGAACTGTTTTTATTGGATAGGATATGATTATGTTGAATAAACGAGGTTTGTGTCAATTGGAGATTGACTTGGAGTTTTTATGAGTTGATTCTAATGCAACAATAATTATTCAATAATCATGTAATTCAAAGGAACTGTCGGGGAAGTGAACTGCCTAGCCATTGGCGGACTATGCTCGGCCAATCGTCAAATTATGCTTTTGATTATGCCACAATTATGCCAACAAATATGCTGAATTATGCTCGGTTCCACTACAATGTATGTATTCACGCTGTACATACATGTACATGTACATGTAGAGGATTGAGAAACCACGCATACACACACGGCCATGCCCTAAGCATAATTTTGTCTAAACCGAAAGATTATGCCGACCTTACACTTTGGAATCCGTATAATTATTATGCCGGAGCATAATTTTTTGACGAAATCCCAAGATTATGCCAAAGATTATGCCGGCATAATCCGCCAAGGGCTATGAGTCTGACAAGGAGACGTAACTGGGGTATTAAAAAAACACACACATCTGAAGGCTTTCTGACAAAGCTGTATTATGCCCCTAAGTATAAGTATTGTCTAAACGGAAAGATAATGCCGACCTTACACGTTGGAATCCGTATAACATTATTATGCCGGAGCATAATTTTTTGACGAAATCCCAAGATTATGCCAAATATTATGCCGCCAAGGGCTAGAACTGCCTACTACTAGTATAGTAGTACTAAGTATGCAGTCATCAGTACAGTACTGTCAGTAGATCGTAATGACCAGGGAGTAGTGTATTTTACTACTCCCTGGTAATGACTGTTTATACATGTATCATTGTATGCACATTTTTTACAACAAATCGACGCCTCAGCGGCCTCAGCTCACGTGAAACTGGCTCTAGTCGCTACATCATCATGATCATGCACATGTAGATCTACCTACTTGTACAAAACTCAGAAGAGTGTCGCTAGCTCTAGACTAGAGCTCTGTTTCTCCTGCCACACTCACGTGACGTGAGGGAATCCATGAAAAAAATAATTAGGCCACACTGAAGAAGGTCTGTGGTTCGACTCACCCGACCGACCGTACATTTTTCAGCCCGACCGTAACTTTTTTTCGGCGGGCTGTCGTGTGACTGACGTACGTGGACTGAACACGTCCACGTCTACGTGTTGTGCAGCGTGAGTCTGCGGACGCAGGCGGCTCCTTTTGGACTTGACTTGTAGCTAGTTGTACTGCAGTGCAGTGCAGTGAGTGGTGCGACTGCTGCCTTGTGCTGGTAGTAGAGTCTACTCGATACGACCACCGGCAGACTGGCGAGACTTATTTTGAAGTCACCGTCCGGTTGAGAGTGATTGCCTCGTTCCAGATTAAAGGGGAAGTATACCCTAAAATCAAATTTTCACCAGTTGTAGTCTTCTGGGTGCTGAGTCGAATGGTCTTGGTCCGAGGAAGCTGCGACGCTCCCTTCCTACTTGAATCCCAATCGAACTCGCGCACTTCCACCGAAACTGGGTGACTGCGCCCTACTAGATGGGGATTTGTATGCAAAATGTCACTAAAAGCGCCATTTCGTTCTTATAAAAGCACGGATGACCGCGATTGGCCCATATGTTGTAGTCTTTTGGACGCTGAGTCGACTGGTTTTGGTCCGAAAAGGCTGCGATGCAGCGTTCCTCCTTTATTCCCAATCGAACATGGTTGAACAAGCGGTCACGTGCTCCTGGGTGCCCAAATCACCTGGTCACCGCGCCAGCAGGCGAGAACTTTCACACCAAGGTTCAACTCGAGTTCAACTCGAGTGACAGGACTGCACCCAAAAAAGGTCAAACAGGCTAGTAAGTTGTACCCTGCAGGCACGGTGACCAGGTGACTGGCGTACGCAGGAGCACGTGACCGCTTGTTCAACCATGTTCGATTGGGAATAAAGGAGGAACGCTGCATCGCAGCCTTTTCGGACCAAAACCAGTCGACTCAGCGTCCAAAAGACTACAACATATGGGCCAATCGCGGTCATCCGTGCTTTTATAAGAACGAAATGGCGCTTTTAGTGACATTTTGCATACAAATCCCCATCTAGTAGGGCGCAGTCACCCAGTTTCGGTGGAAGTGCGCGAGTTCGATTGGGATTCAAGTAGGAAGGGAGCGTCTCAGCTTCCTCGGACCAAGACCATTCGACTCAGCACCCCGAAGACTACAACTGGTGAAAATTTGATTTTAGGGTATACTTCCCCTTTAAGGACGGCCTTCTGTTTTGGGATGAAGGACAGACGAGATTGCGCTTTCCTCGTGTATTGGGAACGATAGTTCACCTGTACCGGTAAGTTGCTGCTCCATGTGTGCAAAGCGCAAGCACAGGAAGCGTCGATGGAAAAAGCCCATGTATTCGTGCACGCCGACACCAAACTAGCAATACATGTACCGGTACATTGTACAATTTGTACTTCGATTGAGTTCGAAGTAGTTCCCGAACTTACTTTCAACTCGCATCGTTCTTCATTTGCTTGATGATTTGGACAGTCAGAGTCACCGCTTGAAGTTATTCTCTTCTCGTTCCAGAGCTACACAATGTTTCAAAGTATTAGCCAGTGATCCCTTTATACAACATGTATGGCATAACACTGCGTAATAATGCCGATGTACTGGGTGTCTAAAGGCAGTACAGTGTATTTACATGTACTAAAAAATATATTTAAAAAAAAAAATCCGCCCGCCCGCCCGTAAAAAAAATGTCCATGTTAGTCGAACCACACACCTTCTTTAGTTTGGCCTTACAGGTTCCTTCACCTACTACAACTACTAGTAACTGACTGTTGTTTTTGTACTACTAGTAGCACTAAAAGTAGTGCTGTACCAGTTTAGTAGTAGCTGTTACTTGTCGTTGAAGTTGAAGTCTTCTTCACTGCTGGATCTGCCAATAGTCCCAGAGAGTAGACCGCGTACGAATGAGACTTGAGACTGAGAGAGAGAACCAGCACCGACGTTAGATCTACGGACAAAAGTCCTCCCATGAGATCGTTTCATTCACGCTAAGCAAACTGTGAAAGAAATTGTCATTATTAATTTTGGTAGAATAATCCAAATCTTTAGCATCAATTATTTTAGAGCTTGATTCAGTCACTCGCGTACCGGCGCCGGCATGATGGCTCAGTTAGTTCGTGCTGCCCGTGACTTGCGGGGACTGTTGGGGAAATGGCTATTGCCAGCGTCTCTCGTAGTCTGCATCTGTACTGGGCGGGCGGAGATGTGGAGAAGCTCGGAGGACGTGCGAGGAGTCTGCTCGGTGTATTTGAATGAAAACCTAACGAGTGCGTTCTGTAAAATGACCTGCGCCAGTATACCGGACAACGTGCTCGTTGGCTTCAATCTCCGAGGCTTCCTGATAGACAAGTAAGATTATACTTTATCGGCCTATGATCAACAAACTAATTATTTTATTTTCTAAAGAAACTCATCTATACTGTGCCATCTACACATTACCACAGGCATCGGCATGCCGCACTCACACAATGAGCAACCAGTGTGGATGTTGTTGTTGATGTTTATTTAAAAAGTTCACCCCAAATTGAAAATTTCACAACTCGTAGCGAAAAATGCACTGATTCCAATGGTGAAAGTCCCAGGTTGATGAGAGCAGCCGTTCCCGAACTATACCAGCTTGAAGTTTGCACTAAATTTGGTGACATCATGGTGACGTCATTAACTTGCCCAGACCAGGCCGGATTTATGACATCAGAGAGATAGACTTTGTATGGGAGTAGATGGGTAAATTTCAGTATTTCGGCTTTCCAGTGTCCCAAAGAAGTTGGATCTTTTTCAACCTTCGGTATGGGACATACGGCACCCTACCGGTATCCCGACTGGAAAAATTCTAGTATGAAATTCAATGTTGCCAAGAAACAAGAAAGAAAAAAAGGCATTAGATCCGTATAGCAGGTCAGGCATGATGACTGACCTCACATACTGGATGCTACTACCAAGGCAGAGACATCCGCGGGACAGCCATAGTGCTCTAATCTTCTGCACAACTTTCTTCGAAATTGCGTCAACATGGGCCTCCCACTTCACAGCGGCATCAAAGGTCACGCCGAGGTACCTTGCTGTTGGGCTGGAGGGAAGCTCTGTCTGGTTGCAGCGGACAGCGATATGCTGACGCGCATTGCATTGTGGTACAATTGACAGGACCTGGCTCTTCTTATCATTAAGAAGCATGTCGATGCTTGACCCAGTCAGCGATATTGGTGACTGCCCTCGATATGCAGGCTGATGTGGCTAGCACTGATTTCTTGTGGCAGTGCACGACAATGTTGTTGGCAAATTGCAGAGATGGAGCAGGTAGGGCTATGGAAGGGACAACACGGTGTAAATTCTAAACAGGATCGGTCCAAGGACAGAGCCCTGAAGTACACCAGATGAGCACTTAGCACCAACACTGTAGGTGGGGCCAATTCACACTTGCTGGGTTCAATTGCTTTGGTAGCTGCAGAACCAGCGAAGGGAGGCATTTTCCAGGCCGAGATCAAATAGGTTCCAGACCAATTGGCAGTGATTAATCTTGTCAAAGGCTTTTGACATATCAATTAGGCAGACGCCTGTAGTCAACTTCTTGTACCGGGTCTTCAAGATGGCATATGTTGCTAGGCGAGTTTAGTTGAATCCCGACACAACAGAGCACAGTAAAAAACGGTTTAAGTTAGTTACATATTAACAAACAAAATTAAACCTTGGGTTTGTCAATAGCTTTGCCAGGCTCCGAGTGAGTGACACCTTAGAGCTGTGTGAATGTGTGTGTGTATGTGTGTGGCAGCTGGGCAGGGCCTAGCTACGGAGGCTGAGTGAGCCGTATTGAGAGGCTGAGTGAAGACTACGAGCGTGTGAGAGTTTTTTGGGAACAGAGCATACGCCTTCGGTGGCAATAAATTTTAATATTGCACGGGCAAAAAAATTAATGTAGAAAGGAAAAGGACATAATGGATACACGTTACGAGTAACTGTCCACCACTGTAACTAGATACTACGGTCAACTTCGCTGATAACGGCTGCGGATATAACGACAATTCGTGAATAGCGACAGAATTTCCATGCCCAGAGAAAAGACCCATCTAAGTATACATTTAACTTTGGATACAACGACTATCTGAATAACGACAATTCACGAATAGCAACATGCTTTTAGTGCCCCGAGGTCATATTCACTGCTTGAATAACGACTTTCTAGGCTTTTTGACAGCTACATGTATTTTATATGATGTTCTGGGAATTGGGTGAGTCAAAGCATTCCCAAGCAGAGACTGAAGGGAGTTGGTTTAAGATCATCGTTCATGGTGCCAACCTTTTTTTACAGCTATCTATTTGGGCTATATGCGAACTGTGATATAATTGTCAATATGGATATTTATGCAATGGATAATTAGGGGTTAATTGAAAAGTATTGACGAAATCTCTTCACCGTGAGTTGTTACACTTCATTCAAGTTTATTGAAATCGCACTATGCAGAAAAGGGATCAATTAAGTGCTCGGAGCACACTCAATTTGTACAAATTGCATACTGAATTATTCCACCCTACTATACTCTTGTGAATGTGGACAGTGTGCTAGCATCTAACAATAAGAAACGACTGCTTATCAAGCAGATTTCACTATTCAGCAGACGTTAAGGGCTTGAAAGTGGCATGAAAAGTAGTATAGAGTCATGGTGGTGAAGCAAGTATGGGCCAGCTTCCTTCACGTTATCCTATTTTATAGTGGATGGTGCTTTCTCAAAGTTATTTGCAAACATTTAATCCAACTTTCTTGTTGGCGAATGGTCAAAGAAAATAACCTATACCGTAAAGTACCGTTGATCCACCCCCACGCCATGTCGCTTCCCAGCTGGGTTTTCGGCAGGGGGGGGGGGGGGGGGGGGGGCGGGAATTAGATCAAGGCTGCCAAGTGCAGTACGATGTACAACAACGTAGAGGATCAGACTCAATGTGCTGGATTGTGCACATTTTGATCCTGGATTGGCGAATATTGTGTACAGCAGTGCATGCGTCGGTTCAACATCGTATTTCGTTGTATACGCCGAAGTCGCTTCACAAGGAGAAAATCGACAGGGGGCGGGAATTAGAGAGGGGGCGGATCAACGGTACTTTACGGTAATTATATTATGCAGATTGATGGTTTGTTGTAGAAAAGTTTGACGATAATAAGTAGTTTGAAATTCCCAGTGTAAAGTTTGTGTTTTTGCTGTTGTGATCCTCGGTGTGTTGGCATGTTGTTCAGATTCACGGATTTCCTGGGTGACGATGGTATACGTTACAAGTGGAATCCCTGTACAGCTCTCAATGTGGAGGGCTCCAACACCTGTGCAGAGGATGCAGACTCATCTGTACGTTGGTATTAGTGTTGTTTCAGCATGCTTACTGTCTGCAGTGCTAGCATCCATATTACCAAGAGTATTATAATCTCCCAGAGTGTGCAGCTGGGATGGGGTTGGGGGATGGCATAATCCATTATGCACGATATTTTGTTAGGGTCGGATTTGCGTCATTCCGTCGACGCGGTCCACCAAGGACACACGTCCCCTACTCATGATGTCACACTATGACGTGCAACACGGATTTCGCCGTCCCAGATCTGATCAGTGAAGTTGCGCACTCTGGGGGATTATGGACTCTTGATATTACCGGTAGCTATTTGCACTACTGTCTCTACTGGAGGATTCTGGAAAAATGTTTACTCTTGACAGACGTAGTCTTTTCACTTTCATGTAAAGAGAGACACAGAGACGTAGCCGAAATTGAGATCCGAATTCGACTGTGACTGTGAATTACATTATTATATCATTGTATTACCCCTTTGTGACCCCATCGATCGATATCAATCGATTGGTATACAGTGGCACTAAAAAGGTATATCTCTGGTGTTCCTTCACCGATTTTCATAAACAAAGCATCTACGTTTCGAGGGGAACCTTGGCTATCACGTCGAAGTTATCCAAAGTCTCTACGAGGTACGATGGCACCGTGGTGAGACTCGAGGTCGGAGGAAAACTGAAAATTCACTCCGATCGAAAAATTCAAATTTTCACACCGCAGTTGCCAGGGGATTTTCCCGGAGTGCTACGTCATACTCAAGCATGCTGCACACCAATATTTTGCGCTTGAAACGAGCTTTCCGCTGTATTGGTTTGAAGTCGATGTGATGAAGGAGAATGGAATGGCGGCTGTTTGAACTTTGCTGGAGCTGTTCGCGCATGGCTGCTGTTTTGAGCGGCATTCTAGGCCACGCAGAGCAGAGGCCGTGCAGGTAGCTGGCTTGAGTGTGGTATTAGTAGCTTCGTCTTGGAAATACCTTTCCAGCGGTGGCAAGTTTGTAAAAATCGGTGAATGTTTGGCAGAGATACAAGCGAAAGTGCATGTTATTTGAAGGTGAGTAAATTGTCGCAATTTCAGTGGGGTCACAAAGGGTTAATAGTGCTGCTGTTTTCTCTAACTGCTCAATCTGCTTATCATCTCCATGGGTGATTGATTGGTCGAGAATATTTCATATGAAAATAGCATGGATATGAACGAGGTGAAAAATTCTTGATTTATGGTTTGTGTGTGTGTGCGTGTGTGTGTGTGTGTGTGTGTGTGTGTGTGTGTGTGCGTGTGCGTGTGCGTGTGCGTGTGTGTGTGTGTGTGTGTGTCTGCGTGTGTGTGTGTGTGTGTCTGCGTGTGTGTGTTTGTGTGTGTTTGTGTATGTGTATGTGTGCATGTGCATTGTGTGTGTGTGTGTTTGGGTGTGTGTTTCTTGATGCTGAAAGATGTGCGAGGAAGAGACCACCGGTACTTGGAAAGTACTTGGTACCTTGCCACCGTCTAACATCAGCCTGCATACGGTCAGCTTTGGCGATGGCCTCACATTTACACTGCACTATACGTATGAGGATGTGTAAGTTGTGACTGTCAGATTAGTATGGTATATTTTGGAATTCTATAACTATCTTCAAATCAACGTGGAGAGAGTGAGTGCGTGACTTTTGATTCTGCTTTGACAGTAAAACGTGTTGCATGGCCCAGGATCTATGCAACACATTCCATTTCCTCTCGCTGAGTCTGTATCCGTTCACGGTCTAATTGATTTGAAAGTGATTTGAAAGTGACAATTACGTCGCACAGACAATTGTGAGTATCTTACAAGCACTGCAGCCTGGTACCCTAGGATCTGGATCATCCGATTCGGCGACCGGAAATTCAATTTCTGAAATTTTATTTTACCATAACTCCCCTTCAAAACCGTGGGAGAAGTGTCTGTGATATCGTGTTACCCTGCAGGGAGGCAGATGTGGAGTTCTACTGTCGTGAAGGGGAGACACCGGGGACTATCAATGCTGACCCGGATAAAGAAGTTCCCCGCCGGAGATATGTAAGGCATGTACTGTATTTAACTTGGCATGAAGTTCACTCTGTGACCACACTGTAAGTCTTGTAAATCTCAACACTGTGGCATGTATGAAGTCAGACAGGCAAGCGCAGTTAAGTACCTCTGGCTGCACCTGGTCAGTACATGCAGATCATTGGAATGGTGATTATATCTTTTGGTTTTCCCGGAGACAGTGTGAAGGAGAAGGCAATGCAAGTACCCGGGGAAGAGATTTGAGGATGTAGTCTGTGTGGAGCCTGAATGAAGCTAGTTCTTTTCATGAGATAGATATATCCTGTTTAAATGATTGGCAGAAGACGTGTCTTGAATCTTGCCGGTGAAACATGTTCAAATCTGTTGCCTGGCTCCTTCTCGAAATATGGGACAAGAGATGTGTATGCACACAGACGACAGAGGCGCTGTGTTGCTGTAACTAATTACTTCAAGTTTCACGCATTTCAGCGATCATCAGACAGCAGCATTTGGCATTCAGTAAATGTGTACACTGATCTGCACATTTGTGCATTGAGCACTCTGCTTCGAACTGCCTTGACCGGCCTTGTTTTGTGATGTGTTTGTATGTTTTCGGTTTAGAGATTTGTCATTGAATCATCGTACGCCTGCGCCACTGCCATCACCCCCACCAGACCAACGTCAGCACCCGGCACGTCAATACCACTCTCCACTGGTACCATAGTGATAATAAGGTGAGCCGCCATGCTCTGTGCCTTCAAAGGATCACACTACCATGCTATGCTGTACTGTTAATGCTGCAGACCTTAATGCTGCTGATGCACGTACATGTACAGCGGTTGCATTGGAAAACGGACATGCAATTACCGTCAGCTGGATGGATTTTGAAAAGCTTCTGTTGTTGTGCAAAATGAAATGCCTGCAGTGATGTTATGTTAGATTTGATGTTCACTGCTATGTTCTTTGAGTAGGGTTATTTATTTTAATAATTAAAGTAATGAAAACGTGCTTTCAGCGGAAGATTCAGAATATCTGTATCAGGCTGGGTGTATCTCGATTTAAAATATATGACCATATTGTGTTTGAATGTTCTGCTCTTCTTCAATTTCTGCTCTTTTCCAGTCTCATTGGCATTCTAGTCTTGTACATACTGGTGGGTATGACGTACAAAGCTACTGTCAACGGTGCACGTGGTGTTGAGATGATACCGAATATCGACGTATGGACAAGGCTACTCTCCACGATACGGGTATGATGTACAGTACAGTCGGGTGCCAGAGAGCGACCAGGCTAGATTTTCACCAAGCACAGTATGCCAATGTATACACGCAGTGTCTGCTCCAGGATTTCAAACCAACCGGGTACACGTGTACCTGGCAGCCGGGTACATTCAAGTGCGAGTATTGTACATCAAGAAATCTTGCGACTCCCTGATTGAGTCCCAACCGGCTCACAAGTGACCCGGTGTTCTTTTTCCAAGCGGGTACAAGTGCCCCCCAACCGGGTCGCTGACCCGCCTCTGGAGCAGACACTGATACGGTCGACACAACTGTGCATAGACTAGTACATGAAATTGAAGACGGCCTAGGCTACGAGGCTGATCCCCCAATTCTTCAGAACCTAACACAGTACTGTAAGACAGAAAGAGGGGGGGGGGACCTAGGTGAGTTATTTTCCCATCATTCAAGCCTGACACGAACTGGAATGTTTGTTCTGGTGGAATGATTGTCTGAACTGCACAACTTTGCAATGTTCTTCCTGTACCCTATTCAATAGATTCTTGGAGGGAAACAAATCAGCACACGGAGCCCAGAAGCCATTATAGTTTCGACTAGACCTTTCGTACCATTACTTTTCAAGTCGAATACAATGGTGATTAACATGGCAGCAAGCAAGTCCTTATAACCGTCACTCTGGCGGTCAGAGCTGGGACAAAATAGCACCTACTACATGGTGAAAAAATCAATAAAGAGCGTATTAGCAAACAGCAGTGGGGACTACGGCACTACAATGTTGACTATGCTCAGGCCAGTCAGGGTACTTTCACTTCACTATTCAAGTGCGTGCGTGCACGCAACAAACCTCACCTGGCTGTGCTGGAGGCGGTGTACATTGCCAAGTTGAAGCCTGAACCGTGTGTGGAAAAGAAGTATGTGCGAAAGTTGTCACTGTTTTGACGTTCATGGTCCCCACGGTTGTTTAATGATACGCTCCTTGTTGATAGTTACACTATGTAGTTGGCGCCACTAGCACTATTCATGTGCTATTTTGTCACAGCTCTGACAGCCAGAGCGACGCTTATAAGGACGTTCTTGCTGTCGTGTTTATCACCAGTGTATTCTACTTGAAAAATAATGATACGAAAGGCCTAGTCGAAACCCTAACTATGGCGCTTGTGCTTCATATGCTGATGATCACCCTATCTATAACCACAACAGTAGATTTATGAGTGATTTTAGGTGCTTGCTTTATGGTATTGTCATCTGAATAGTGTTACCCGTGGACAGGATGTACTCGTGTGATTGCTTCACCTGGGCCATCTTGATTATCTCCATTGTTGGTGATAACGAGCACAAGACGTTGTGTTAGGTTTTGTTAGAAATGTGACGTTGTACTGTTGTCCTGTGTTTCTATGTGGCCTGTAGTTTGGAGCAGCGTGGCTAGTGAGCCCCTGTTACAAAGGAAGAGCCAGCAAGGAGCTGAATTACAGTACCATTAAGTCATCGGACCAGCCTCCGGCACCTGGCCAAAGCGAGGTGGCATCACACACAAACCAGTCAAGTTTTGAAGTAAGTGACTTCCTGTGAATGCCTGTATATGAACCGTTCGTTGGTTTGAGGGAAAGACACAAACGGGAAAAATCTGAAGAAAAAATTGACTGTCACCACCAGGACTGGAACCAGGGACCTTCGCTTGAGGGCAGCGATGCTCTAACCACTGAGCTATGGTGTATCTGTCATTCCAGCAGAGACTGTTCAACATTTTCTTCTGACTGTTGCACCGTTGTTCTGATACAATGCTTCATCAAGGGCTGAAATTGCTAGTCCATACTTTGGAGAGAAATAGCTGCATTTCCTATGTTGCAGTTAGTTATGGCCTTTGACCAAGATCGAGTGGAAAGTTCCTGCGGATTAATCACTCTAAAGAAACTTTGAGGATACTTTGAAATCTATTGAGATGAAGAAAATTCATGGTTCGCATGAGACCCAGTTAATTTTAGTTTTCTGTATCTGCGGGATACACCACCGAATCAAGGTACCATGAAGAGCATGTAAAAACTGTCTTCAGGAATCACACGAAAAAGAAGTTAGACATTGTTATGAGGCGGATCAAATCTGGTATAAAACTGAATTTCCACATATGCATTGGAACCTGTGAACAAAGATATGTTCTGATGTCTGTTGGATTTGTCATGAAAGCAGATAGTCCCATTACTAAGTTACACAATGTTGATAATAATACACACAGCTCGCATTTTCCCTGAACCTGTTAGACAGGAGCAGAGTCGACGCATCTGTCAACAGTGTCAAGCCAAGTTAGTCTATCTCCTGCAGCTTGGAGAGCGCTGAGAGATCCGTTGCCTTCAGGTCGTGCCGAATCGTATCTATCCACCGCGTGGAGTCCGGTTGCTAATTGACTTGGTGAATTGATCTGGTTTCCATTTACAGTTTACAAGGATCATACACCGGTACACTCATGTCTGTGTGTTCTTTCCAGGAATTTGCCTGATGCTGAATGTTTTCGGATGCTTCACTCTCAAGAGGGACACTGTTAAGAGGCTAAAAGTTCCATGATGTGAGTACAGAATGTTACAAATTTTTTTTTTTTTTTCTCAAGTTATTCTCAAGTGAAAGTTCAGCATAAACATAGGTTACAAGTTGACAATTATGTCAACAATTGTTTTACAGAATTTATCTCACTGCTATGACAAGAGGTTACATAATTTAAAAAATATCAAGAAATGTTTACATGTTTGGTGCGTGATTTTTAAAATCAATATGAAGTATCAAGATTTGAATTTATGGCGTATCAAGCAAAGGGTGGAGACCGCTGTGTGGAAGTATTATTCTATAGTCATGCTTTACTTCTTCAGAGCTTTCACAGAACCACTTACGCACATGCACTTTTGAAGCACTGCAGCTACAATGACATGTATAATAAAAAAAGGATTTAATCGCATGCATGTACTTCTCAAAGTACCATTATATTCGCAGGCTTTTCTATTTCTCTGTGAAGTGGCATTTTAGACCTCTGCTTTCAAATCCCAATTATGGCATAGATTCCACTTTTGAAAATTATTTATTCTTGATGCGGACACATACATCTTACTGGCTGCAGTTATCTCTATTCCCCCCAGCTACATGTGTACTGGTTGGCTACATGTAGATGCGAATCATCAATGAGTGCATGCACATGCAGTGAAGTGGCTTGTTTTGTTTGCACTCTCGTGAGTGGGTTGCCAAAGGAAATATTTTATCATAGTAACTTCCAGCGCACACAGCTAGCTGCACTAAGTTCCTGGTTACACCGGAAAAAACTTCAATCTCTCCGTCTTTCCAAATGTTTGCCCTACAGGGCATCATTACGGGATATGGACATATTTTATTGCGTTTAAACAATGCTCGAATTACATTGTTCTCTATGTCGGTGAGAATTCCTGAGTGCATCAACTTCAATAAGTTCTCATGATCAATTCATTTGTGCATGGTCATGCATATATCTTTTTCAAATGGAAAATGGTGGAGCCTCCCCATGCGACCGTAACTGCATATGGAATAGAGCAACAAAACCCATAACGTTGTTGTTCAATCATTGCAAACACCATGCTAAAAGCAGTCTAGCGAAAGTAGGGGATGTGTATATGAGTATATGAATGGGGTGCTGGCCAGTCAAGTCCAACAACTCGCTGAATCGTGGCACCAGTAGTTACATAGTGGACTGGTGACTCTGAGTTTGGCTTTGAGGCTCTGTAGGGCACCAAGGGCTGCTTAACCCCGCACGTGGAAAGTGTGGCTATGATTGACTTTCACTGGCCGGCACGGAGACAATCATTGAGTAATTCTGTTATAATTATAATCTACAAGTAGGAAGACTTAAAGTTAAAGGGACCTTGCCTAATTCTGCTGATTGCAGTTGTGTGCTTGCCGCAAGACCTGTCTGCTTTAGTGCCCATCCTAAAGTATGTTGGTAAAGCTCTACTGCAATCACCCAGTTATTAGTAGGCCTTATGATGTGTACAGTACAGTGTTGCATGTTATCATTTCAATATACAGTACTTCAGTATACTATAGAGTGATGCCATTATGTTTGTACAAAACTGGCAAAGATCTGAAGTTCTTTAAAAAAAAGGCGTGATAATAATTATAATAATATCATTATACATGCGGTGAGCAGGGAAAATGGCGGTGATAGAATTGAATTATGTTGCGCACAGAATGGCGAGAGGCTCCTGAAACATTCTCAAATTGTGTTTGTAAAGAGTATATAGAAGGTATTGTGGACAAGTACGGGTTACTGCTACTGTGACATATTTATCTTAGGAATTGATACTTTCGATACTACACTACTTATACTCAATTGTTCAACCAAATCCAAGCGCAGGAGCTTCTGATGCATGTAAACAGACAGTCACGCATGGTTGTTTGAACAGACAGGCTTCACAAGTCTTATCTCACGGTCCACGATCCATATACGGATATTGAATAATGTTCTTTTTGTACTGCTGGGGATGTATGATGGAAATTACTTCGGCTTCCATCATGGCAAGTTTGTTGATAATTGACCAGGATCATCTCTTGCATTTGTAGGTTTCCTCCACTTCTTCGCACGTATCGCATCTCACCCTACAGCACCACTCAAACCTGCAGTTGCACTGTTTATGCAGCACAGCACGCCTCGGCATTGAACCGCGATCGCAGCACAGAGTCGGACAGATGCTCTGCTTGACGCGACGTTGTCCGCACTCTCGGCCAGCAGTTCCCAGCGAACCAACCACCGGATCTCTATCACAGTAGGACGGTGACTGGTGCAGGTGTAGCGAATCCTTGATATCAACTTTCCGCTCCGTGTCCTGCGGTACCAACTTCTGCTTTGCGCTATCCGGGGCCACCTTTATGGATCTACCGTACCGTCTCATGAGTGCACGACCGATGATTTGAATCTTGGACACGGAGAACCAGCAGGTCTTGTGTACGCAGCTTCCTGTCAGGCCATGACATTTGCACAGGAACTGCATCCTGTCCTTGGCAATCTGACACACACAAACATACCAATTGGCAAACAGCAGCAAACAAGGTGTTCAAAGTGTTTGCTTGGAAGAGGAAATAGTGCTACAGCATAGGAGATGAACAGCCAAAACGCCTTGCCGGAACCTGAACACTGTCATGTTTTAGAATCAAAATCAAGATGACTGTGTTCATTTTTGAAACTTGTTCTTTGTAGGATTTCCCATTGGCTCTAAGTGTGTCAAAATTATCACTCGGGGTCGGAGAAAATTCGTAATTCTACTCGGGGAACAGGAAAGCAAAGGTATAAAAAAGAAAATTTATAAAACAGGCAGAGCAATTCCGATAGTCCTCCATTCATGATTCATGCCTTAAAATGGTATCAGCATTACTGACATGTAGGTCAACTGAAATACGACTTGGTCACAATGTGGCGCTGGGCTTTGTTGAAGAAGAGAATGAATACAGTCTCAATACGCTTCTTGGCAAGCAGGTATTATCCTTGTCATTCTGGTGCAATGGTCAATTCATACATACTAGGAGGAGAATGCTCTTACCTCCAGACCCATTCTGTAATTATGACGTTCCATCATTTGTTGATGTGCTCTGTCGCCATTCTCCTCGTTGGGGCCAGCCAGTAGGTTCAGCGTTTGCGTGTGTGCAAAGTGTATGTTGTCGCTGCAAGCTCCCCACGACCAACTTGCATTGGGTTTGATGTCTGAACCACCACCCTGCTTCCAGATTTTATCACAGCCACATGATCCACCCGTTTTGCCTGTGTACACCAGCAGAGTGGGAAGAGAAGAGTATTATGAAACAGTTAGACAATTGCGGGAATGATTATTTGTATTCCCAACAAGGTTGCTGCCATTTTCTTTGTCCATTTGCTTTATTACAAACGGAATATTTAAAAACGAATTCTGGGAATATTCACTAATTGGAGGGTCATGTGCAGACGGGCAAAGGTCAATAACATTCTTGGAGGTGTGAAAAAACAGTGAGAGAGAAGACGAAAGAAAGAAAAATGAATTCGGATGGAGAGCCAATGATTATTTCTAAAAAGTAGAAAGTACCAAGGAACTACAAGTTACACTATAATGTCCACTAACACCACTAGCAGTTACTAAACAATCAGCTCCTGTGATAACATTGCACGACACTGACCGACGGTGCTGACGTTCTACAACTAACTGGCAGGCTAACAGCTCTAGCACATATTGGATGCGCACTCCAACAGCCTTCCAACTAACTTGGAAGGTTCTAAGTTATAGAGATACTTAACATAAGGAGGGACATTATAGTGTAACTTGTAGTTCCTTGGTCCTGTTTACATTTTATAAAGAAATAAGAAGAAAAGATCTGAGAGTGTTACGACGTTGTGAACTAATACCAAAGGTGAGTAAAATGAAGGCATGGAAGCAGGGTTAACACCTCATCCTTATACATTATTACTTACTTCCAACGAAATTCTGGGGAAGGGGTTATTATTCTCGACACGTTGCCAATGGATTTGATGGTTCAATTTCTCACATACGCCAACTAACTTACATGCACATGTACATTGTCAATCGACAGTGCTCCTCAGTGACGTCAGGACACGTCACTGACCCAATGAGATCGGATTTCATTTAGCAGCACTGTGCATGAATGTTCTACTGTACCCGCGCAAACGGGGCCAATTAATATCCAGTGTATGGATCCGGACCTGCTCACCTTTGCTGCATGTCCGTGCCACTGCCAGAGATATTCCCGCTGCCTGAATTGCGTAGAGGAAGGCAGCCTCGCGACCACCTGAAGTAGAGGAAAAGAGAAACAACAGGCCAAGTTGAATTCTTCATTCTTGACTTGAAACCCAAATCTAAAGCATTCATGCACTCTACTTGGACATTAGTTTATCCTTTAGTTATCCATAGGCATACACATCAGTGTAACTGGCAGAAACTGAATGGTTCTGTTTCATCCCAGTTTGTGGACTCATCAAATCAGCACAGACAAAAGAGCACGAACTTGCTATCAACGAAAACAAAATATTATTTTCCCAATGCCAGAATATGAGCTAGCTCCGAGAATACCATGAAAAATGATTATAAAACTGACTCAGACCATGCCATTTTTGTAGAAGCTGCATAGTATTGTCATGAATGACTCTAGTGAACTGACCCTAGTAAATCTATATGTTCATACGAATACTGCTCACATGCAGTGAGTGCACTATGCCTCAGCTTTGGCTGTTGCTGACTACCGCAGCCGGCGCAGCGCCACTAGTGGGCGATGAACTTCAGCTCCAGTTTTATTTTTTTGTTTTTTAATGTATGCCTACAATGCCACTGGAGCCGGTGACAGATCCAGGGGTGATAGGGTGGTGAAGATAAGCATGAGACTTGCCAGTGGGGGTCTACCCCCTGCAGGTGTCCCTGCAGGGCCACACAGCGTTGCACACTTGTCTGGTGGGGAAGTAATGTGACACCTTTGACTCAATTATTTTCAGTTTTTGTGTTGGATGGAGTAGTGAATACCTGTATGCGTGTGGTGTCAGTGCTGAAGGTCTGTCATATGATGTGACTAGTGACCGGAACGAACGATTGCACAGTGAATAAGGGTTCACTTTGCATGTGACAATTGTTCTCTTCATTACACATCCTTAACAACCGTCACCCACAGAGTACAGGAGTGGCTAAGGATGGATCTTCTCAATAGTCATATGCATCGGGAAAAAGACCTTAGCATCACCTCCCCTACACCTCCACCGTGCCAAAATATTATCAGTAATTGCCTAGAAAAATCCGCCCTGTGGCAATGACCAGTTGCCATAGGGATTATGAAAAGTGATTGATATACATTGTACTAGTGCTACATGTACAAACAATGGCATGCACCGGATACAAAATTTAATAATAACCAATGTACACGCAACTGTATTTACGTACCAATCATGAAGACTTTCTGAAAGGTCTCCGATCTGTGTATGGGGCAATTCCATCGTTCGTACTTGAATCTCCGATGACATTCTCTCAAACCAAGAACTGCACCGTCAGCCACTGGTCCTACGAGCAATGTGTTGTTCTTCGCCCATGCCTGCTGCTCACGACTGAGACCAAGTGCGTTCAACTGGGCGTCATCGGTGTCGTTAGCGGTACGCACCAAGTCGTGCAGCGAGAAATCTTGTCCTGGCGGATCGTTGATCTCGCTCAGCGCGACTTTGGCCTGGAAAGGAACCCTGCATGGACCGAAAACGCACAATGATGTTATGTTCTTGTCATGTCGCTGTATACGCGCAGTACACCATGCTCGTCCCAGTTCAGGGGTTTTCCAAGGTGCGTGCATGCGTGCATCAAGTAGCCGTTAAGAGGTCTCTTGGGTTTGGGTACCTCACTCATGGGAGTGTCAGTTTCTTGAGAGCTAAAGGTTCGCTCCACACTCATCCATCTCTCTGCAGCCCACAGCAATCAAAACAAATCACCATTGAGGCAACTCGTGGACATTTGAGTCTAGAAAGAATTGCTGTGGTTTGGCGCACACTAAGGCTGTGCCCATACAGCACGCTGTATCAGTGTATGTGCTTAGCATTAGCATTCTTAACACCGCCGCTCCCTGCATGTTATTGGGAACAGTGACAGGACTTCCCAGTTTGGCAAGTACATGTCTTAGTAGTAGTAGTCGTAAAACCGCCCTGCTTTTTTGTTTCCCCACATCTAAATTCCCATTAGGGACTTCGTGTGGTCTGAGAACACATCCTGGCTTCATGTGATGGCAACTGCCACATTCTACTAATCACCCATCATGACGATACAGTCTTTTCATTGCAAATGCGGATAAAAAGTAGTTGGCATCTCTGTACTGTGTCACACACAGGTGTAAAGTGTTCTCTCACTCCTGCTGTTGTTGTTAAACGCGTGAGGGAAAACGTAGTCACACGCTCTTGGGACGCTGGAGCAGTGCACCCTTGTCCTGGACGCCACTACGGTCCAATGCAGTTTTTGTTTATCTAGATCCACAATCTCTCGTTAGCATGATAATGAAGCGACTACGCAATTGTCCATGTACTTGTATAATTATACTTGTAGCAGATTCATTTACATGACTGTTGAATGTTCTTGTTAAAAATAATTACTACATGTATTACCGGGTATGACTGATTTTTTTAAAGTGCCATTTTGAGCAGGAAGAACACCTGCGTCGCATCAGAATGTACTTTCCCCCTCAGTGTTATCAATACAACCAAATGCGGGCTTGACCAGTTCGTCCGACGGAAGTAAGGAGTAACAGCGATCGACAAGCAATGCGTTAATGTCTTCTATTTCTACGCTGCAACGCTATGCAGCGTTTCAAGTACCTCTGTCACGTTCTCACCTTTTGGTCAAGCGTTGAGATCCCCCGTGCCCAGGAAGCGCAAGGATATGTAACAGATACCATGTTCAGTTTCCCCAGCCCCAGGTCTGTGGCAGACCATGGACAGGAACCAGGTGTCCCTTCCTACATACACACTGTACATAATGTCTTTTCCGCGCAGGCTAGTACTACTAGTAGTACCTGGTTACTCTGACGCAGTGTGCGTATGTTTACAAGATCTGTTGAAGGGTCGTGGATTACATATTTTGTACTGTGTCCATGTTTGACTAATAGATACATGTGTTTGGTAAAGGTGCAAGGAGTGCGGGGTACGCTCATTGCCACGAGCAAGAAGCTGAATTATCGCACTGGCATGCTGTAAAGCCGAGTATGGAACATAAGCCGTCCCTTGCACCGATAACACAATGACACTATAGAATGTCCCTGTTCTGTCCAGCATCTGTGAGGGGACAGCATTCCACACTTGCAGAACACTATCCATCTGGCACCTACCTATAACAGGACAGCTAGTAGACAAATCTCGAGGCGATTCGTTTGAGTGACAAAAGCAACCAAGGACATTGGTAGCAACCGGTCGCTACTCTGCACGATGTGATGTACACCCAGTACTCGTTCCTTGCTCTATGTGCTAAGCAATTAGTGCTACAAGATGTCTTTTGTACCTGCGACGTTATCACCGGTACGCTATGCGAGTGCTGGCTGTTTAATGTTTTTTCACAACGGACAAGAGCCACAGGGTTCTGACTTGATGGTGCACATGCAGGTATGATGACTGTGTGTTGATGTGTCTGTTGTCCAGCTTCCATGGCGTCCACAGAACAGTGCAAAGCATTCTATATCTACTTGGAATCTTTTTATATCCACCTAGCTTCGATGGCCGTTTTCATGAGGATGAAAAAGTTATTCTGGCAACATGCACGGATGCTAGTGGAACATAATATTATTCAGATTATTGGCGACGATATGCATTAGACCTAAGTGGATTTCCGGGCCAAACTGACGCTGCTACCCATGATCTTCGTTCCAGATACATGTCCACGCTGTACAGTTACCACTTCTAACACGGATTCAATGTTTTCTTTCAACAAGCTAGTCACCTCCAAGTACATGCCATAGAATTAATCGATCATAATTGGATTTGCGCTCCACTCCCTACGAAGTGGCGACATGATTCGTCCTGAACACATTGTTTCGTCGACAGGACTGTGGTTGAAGATGGAACAACGGTATACGGTAGGGTTTAACCCAGTCACCCAGTTACGTAATCAAGATACAGTACAGTACCGAGGAAATCTTTATGCGCTCAGGGTATTACTAAGTATGCACATTTTCTGTAATCTGTTCGTGCAGGGAGGTATCTAGGGGAGAAAGTCACGCATTACCTAGGCAGTCTAAATTGACAGCAATAGGAGGACAGCGAAAGTGTTTTTACTCCGAGTTTCACGCACTAAGCGATCATCAGAAAACAGTAATGAGAAATCTGGATCAGTATTGGTATTGAGCGCTCTCTTGGACAGCCTGGAACCTCTCTGTTTTACAATCTATAATATAGATATATTATATTGAAAGGGCAGTGCGGAACAGGTTTGTCGTGCCCCAGACTGAAAGTTGCACACACGGGATTCAGAAACGGAATATTAAACTACGGCTTACCGCCACTGGCTAAGGAAGCCGGTCTGGGAAATCCTGCCGATGGTTTCCTCCGTTGTCTCTGGAACATCAGCACTACTACTAAGTTCCGGCATCAGTGCCACCACCACCATGGTCGTCAGCAGCAAGAAAGACCTGCAGACATGCTGAGCTTGCTCCATCCTACGCTGCAGTATTAGTACTGCTCCACACTCCGTACAATGTAGTATTCAAACTTCTTGGCCTGAAATTGTCACCAGCGAGGCGATCCCACCACCAACTAGGACCCTCCGCAATCGGTTGAAGAAGACGAATTCACAGTGTTGTAACTGTGAGCTAGAAGAGGTTGACCCTTGGCCCTACAGCGACTATCCTGACTATGCTGACTATGCTGACTAGTCGACTGCTAGCTCTACAACATGTAGCAAAGCACGGCGGTAATGTTATCTGAATCTTTGTGACTAAGCCCCACTCTGCCAAGGCTGGCTATCATCCGACTGAGAACAACCCAGACGGGGATACGCTCTCGCAGAACCACTTTGCCAACTGAGACCTGGTGTGGAGGTTGCAGATAAGCGCTAGCTGCTCGCACACGCTCTATCTCCTAGTCCAAGCAGCCCCACTATCCCCGATGTACCACGCTAAATACGTGACCTGAGCGCGACCGCCACTCCTAGCTACTGGCTGCTGTCCTTGTCTGAGACCGCAGAGGGGGTCACTGTATCTCTAGCTCTTCTGACAGAGATATCTCCTAGATCCTGCACTAGTGTTGCCAGTACGCTACAGCAACGGATCGCACAGAAGTAGGGACGTCACTAAGGGCAGTAAGGCGTCTCCCTAAGGCCTCGTGATCCTGAGACAGGAGAGCTCCGATTCAGAAGCCAGGGAGTGAGTATGTAGGCATGGCATGGGTACAGAAGGTACAGGCTATATCTAAGAAGTACCAATCAACATGTATTCAGTAAAGGGCTTATAATCGGATCGTATGCCAAAGCAGACTCCTTATAACACAGCGACGGACGCGGAGTCTCACTGATATGATTTGTATGTGGATGCTACTGAGGTTCATGTACTCCACGTCGTTCTGCATCATGTCCCTGTTGTATTGCGAATGCTGGCCTGTTCATACCCATTACAGGAACTTGCAGCAACACTGCACGGGTGTGGATGGTTGCAGTTGCACGGTAGGACCCAGCCGCTCTGCATGTCTGCCAGCAGGGGCTGAGGACGAGAAGCACTCAAAAGTCTACCTGCTTCTCTGAGCAACGTGCTACGCTACATCAGCTGTGGCCAGTCTGGGCTTGACACTGGCCTGAGTCTCGAACCAGGTCATTACACTTGCTCAACACTCCACTCGACACTCTGTTAGAACTGGAGTGATGGGCTGGCACGCACGCACAGCTGTGGGCTATGATTAGTGAGCGTGGGGATAGCTTTTGCTCTAGGGCTGGCTATTTTGCTTTCATCCACAGCCGATCCGCATTGCGTTTAAGCGTCGGCAAGCAGCTGAGACTAACTGGAATGGGGTTATCAACTGGCACAGGGCATAGCCATAGGTTCTATGATCGATCTGAGAGTATGTTGTCCTGAAGAACAACCGCGTGGAAGTATGTACTTGAAGTACAATGTAGCAGTGATTGGGGAGTGTGCAAGTGTGTACTGCCCATCACATGAGTCATGAACATTTCACTTGCCTGGGCGTATATAGGCTGCAAGATTGCCCATCATTGAACCGATACGCCCAATACCTCTACTATATACTGCTTCCAGGCTTTCTGTGACGTGACTTGGTGCATTGCCCTTGGTCCAACGTCATTGTACTCCCTGTGCTGCCATGGTGCTGCCGCTGTCAATGTCTCACTATCCACGGGTGGAATGCACACAGTGGGGCCACCGACGACGGGGATAAGAAAACACGTTGAGCGTAGGAACGCCTAAATAGTGGCATCTCCTCCTGACCGTCATGCACTGCACGGTTACCAAGATGAGCTATCCACAACCTTTGCTGCTACCGTTTGTGTGCTGCCGTAATGCTGGCCTTTCCAATACCAATACTCATTATCATTATACACGTTGGAGTTTGTGTTGATGTAGCAGTTTTAGTTATCCCGCGGAATGCCCTAGTGAGCGCTTTGCGGCAACCACATCGAGACCTATCTCAAATGTTCATCGTTTCATACCCATTAGAATCCTACACCTTTTAACCATACAATGTACATGTACATATACATGACATTGTGTACTGGCCTTATACAATCATGTACTTGTGCATGTGCATGTACATGCGATAGCTTGCACAGCGTTACGCACGGTCCAGATGGACTTCTTATCCTATCCGTGCTGTCAAACCATAGGGGGCAAATCCCTTTCCCCATCTGGTAATCTGACTATGGCGCGCGGGTTGCGCGCTTTTAGGTGGCGCCACACTGACTTTGCTGCAGGCCATTCCTGGCGGGCAAAACATTCTTGATCGTCTAACAAAATTCATAGAGGCACGATTTCCAAGTGGCATGCACGTAGCTTCCATCATATCAATGTATCCCAAAGAATAATAATATTGTCAACGTCACAATACCTCTATCCCACACATTCCATCGCAGTTTAAGCGAAGGATCGGATCGTTCTTAATTTAAAACATAATTTGTGTCTTCGACCTTTATAGAGAGTGACGGGAAATCTACAATCACGTACCTCTTGTGTACATGTGAAATGTATATTTGCTGGATACACATAAGTCAGACCAAGACTACAGTCTACAATGTGGTATCATGCCAGCAGGTACTGCTGAGCGCACTCTGAACACAGGAACACGGTAAAGGAACAGTGTATGGGTCTGTATTTGGACGGAGCGTGGTGTAGAAGGAAGCGAACCATGGATGTACATGTATCTCGATCAGTTATCCGTTATCACCATTATGCGCAGATGGCCCTTGAATAGTCATCTTGGTGTTAACATGACTTGTGATCGGAGAACTACGAAAGCAGTGTTTCAATCGTTGATTAAATCCCCTCAGGGCAATAGTCTCAATCCTTCTTACGTGTACATCACGGCTTTTGTGTGTACAATGTACAATGTAAGTAACGTTCTGTCAGTTCGTCCACACATCGTCGACTTGATGGGTTTACCACAATCAAAACTGTAGACATACCAGCAAGCATGACTGAATGATAGGTACTAGAATACATGTACTTCGCAGGCATGGAACAATTCACAATCTGAGAAACCACGTCATGACACACGTAGTCAACATACAAAATTGATATCAAAGCTCTGTTGATGCGCGGACCCTTCCACCACTGCCACGATATTATGTGTACATGCACCATATGAAATATTGCGTCGGTCCTGACGGCTTTAATGCGCTCCTCGAATCTCCCAACATTACTATTGTATGTATGTATGTAGAACCCATAACCATTCTGGTCGTAGGGGCGTCATGTGTGTCATAAGGCAGCAGCATTAAAAAAATTATAATAATAAAAACCTAACTTCACTGATAAACAAGCTGCCTAGACCTACATGTACATATAAATGTACATGTATCACGATCAGCAGCAACGAGAGAGAGAACATTACTACATGGTATAAAAAGAAACCAATTCATTTCACCAGGAACTCACTGCATACTTTAGACATTCTGTGAGAAGACATAGGGACACCCAAGTAAAATAATAGAGTACCATGATGACTTTCCTGCACCGTGCTAGAATGGCCTAGGTAAAGATACAATGTACTTCCGAGCTATATGTATATGTACACTGTACACTGAAGTACATGTGTCTGCCTGAAATATTAAATCATACAATGCCTCGAAAGTTATGAGATTGAGCCACACCATCTGTTCATAACTAAAGCCACCGGCGATAGCAGACAATGCTGCTTGGCGAAGTTAGTAATCCGGAGTTGATTATATGGAATGTACATGTACATGTATGGGAATACTTCTAGAGGGACGCTGTAACAATTAGAAATTGGTTGACGAAGGAAATACTAATGTCTGATTTGCTTTTCCAGAATTGGCAATGCGTGTTCGGTCGGTCCCTTTAAAGGTCTGCACGTGGTTTCAGTGTTGATTATGACTCTAGTGGGAACTACATTGTAGTACGACGTCGTACAGAATACAGGATGTGGTTGATGTAGCAGTGTTACCTGTGAATTGCTGCGACCAGACACGTGTGCTCAGTTCGCCTTGTCGTCGCACTCGCCGCAGAATACTCTGTAGGCTTGGCGTGACAACATGACTTCATTATTTTGACAGCGAAGAGACACCATTCGTATTGTACACGTACATGCACGTATACGTGATTACAAACCTTCCATAAAGCTGTCTTGTATCAAATTCCAATGTTGGAACGTGAATTCTCACGTCAAGAAGCCCTTCCGCTGCAGCCTTATGCCGCTATTTGCAAATATCCTCTGGAAGAACTATGAACAGTATGACTCAATTACGCGACATATTGCATTCAATCAACACCAAGCTACAGCGTGATTAGACGTGGCTCACGTCTGTACCAGAACCGCTGTAACAAGATACACTGCATGGCAGGAAACGGGTCATTCGGCACGCCGCCTGGCAGTCACACAGTCACACCGTCACGCAAGACAACGCATTGTCAGGCTGACAAATCTACATGACATAATTACAGTATACAATTACATGTACGTGCTGAGAGTCTAAGTATATGTGCGAGGTAACAAAGTTACACACAAGTCACATCAGATATTGTGTCTTCTTGATCCCTACATCGTGTAGCCTACTCCACTTTCACTCAAGTTGTGGCAGTGAGGTTGTGCTTGAGCAGCCCGCCATGTCCGTATCGGTTACGCATTCCTAGTAGACACTGGTTACTGTCGTGCGAGTTTTACCGCTGCTAGCGTTGGTGTCGGCGACTCTCTACCAAATACCGCACTACCTAGCCGGTGAACTTCCTACAACTCCAACTACTTCCAAGCCCTACCAACTAGTGATCGTTGTAATGGTACAAGGGACCTACATGTACAAAGTATGCACTGGGTTCCGTGTTGCACATGTTCACGAACGAGCTGAGCGTCGTGTGTAATGAATGCTCTTGCCTTTTGGTTTATTACTTCAAGTATTATTATTATTTGCCTCTCCGCGTTTGCATCAGGGTGTGGTGCTACAAAAATCAACAAATCGGCATAATACACATCCACCCCTAGCATTCGCTCAGGCCGCTCAACAAGTCAGAAGACAGTAAGGACAAGAGAAAGCGAGGGAAGGGGCAGAGAGCCGCGGGGTCGAAGGAAGGAACAAAAAGAAACAGGAGGCAAAGGATATGGAAGAAATATATCAGATTGTCCATCAAATTCACCTCATACATCATGTCATGTTCCATTTGGGCAAATCCGGGCATTCCTCTGCAGGCTCAGGTGCAGAAAAGCTGGCGCCATACTGCTCTGTCCTGTGCCAGGTCCCTGATATGTGATAGATCTATTTCCGTCTGCAGCTTCATACCCTTTGATGCGAGGTCTGTTCTCAGTATTGTTGGGAGTGTGGAAGGCGGCCGGCCGGAATTTTTTCTCGTCCTTTGTTTGCCGGAAGTAGGATGTCATGGCCATTTGTGCTAGGGACTCCTTTTTGTCAGCCTTTTAGTTTCATACTTGGCAATTTTCCGTAGAAGTAACTTTCATACGTCTTTACAGGCGCCACAGAGCAATATGGGTATATTTAGTCCAGAAGGTTTTCTGGTGATAATCTTCAGGGGAATAGAGCTTCATATTCAATCATGTACATGTACAATCCGGATTTTCCGTTGCCTTGCGAGTGTGATCAACTCACGATGAGGAGCCTGCGTTCACAAGGGGGTGGGGGGGGGAAGGGGGGGGGGGACTATGCTCTGTGGTGACAGTGAGTGTGACATGGCAATAGGACCCCCAGCCATCGGACAAGATAGAGGAGATCCCCTGTATAATCCTGAGCACCTAAGCATCCGCCATGTGATCTGATGATTGACTCTATTTCCATGAAACTCTGTCAATACAGAACAAGGTGAAGAAGAGGTTGGTGCAACCTCGGCGATACTTGGGGAATTGTGTGTTGCTCTCCCTACATGAGAGCTCGCGATTTCTTACCTACTCGAATTCTCTCTTGCCTGACTCAGGACTGCCATCCAGAGCACACGAGAAGTGTTTTGTTCGACCAGACCAATCAAAAACTGCTTCCGGCGGTCCTGCACTAGTGCTAAGTTCACAACGAGACAGGGACAGGCGCGTGCACCAGTGCCCTTTAAGGGGGGTTTCCGGGGGACCTCCCCCGGGAAAAATTTGAAAAAATGAAGCAAAATCCTGCATTTTGAGCGAAAAAAGGGGGTTCAGGGCACCCAGGAACCCATACGGGGCACGCGCCTGAGGGATGTGCACAATGAGACAGGGATGTGCACAATGAGACAGGGATATGTACAATGAGACAGGGATGTGCACAATGAGACAGGGATGTGCACAATGAGACAGGGATGTGCACAATGAGACAGGGATGTGCACAGAAGAGGTTGCGCCGAAAACTGCGCGCAACAAAATATTATAATGGATGGTGAAAAGATGGTCACAAAGTGGAAGCCGAGTGACCGCCACCAAAGTCAGTTTGGACGTCTAACATGACATCAGATGTTGTAAAAGTTGTACCTCCTGAGCCTCGAAAAATTAGCCGACGGTCGAGAGAGAAGCTGTGTGATAGAATGGAGAACTGTGAACTGCTAAAGTGACGTATCCGTCTAAATCTAGACTGCAGAGTGGGTCATCTGACGCTATAATCATCGCAGCAGATCACAGCCTTCTCATCAATGTCAGATGTCCTGGTCCATGTGAAGACTGTCATAATTTTGTTGATGCCCGTTCTGTTCATTCGGTCCGTCGTAGGCTCTGCTTTGCCCGTAAACGAGGCTTAGTAGTAGTAGTAGTATTTATTTATTTACCATCGGATGCCTCAACAGTGATACACACAACTCTTAAGAGGGCCGATAACGGGATAAGTGGAAAGGAAAAGAAAAGAAAAGAAAAGAAAAGAAAAAATAGGAATCCAGACATCAAGCAGTACAGTAATCAAACACCAAGTCAACTTCAAGCTTAGTACAAGAACTATCAAGATCATCGAGAAGCTCAACAGATTCCAAAAAGAAGTTCAAAATACTTCTTAAACGCCACTGGGTCTTAACAAGATCCCTGAGTTGGTTTGCAAATGTAGAGGTACGGTGGTGTCTGCGCCACTCGGCAGGCAGTGTATTAAAGAAAATTGCGGCACGATTAGAAAAAGAATTTACTCGATCAGTTGTCGGGTGCTTAGATATGGCAATGGAAGCATTAGAGTGGCTTCTAGTTCTAAGGCCTGTTGTGATCGGTGGAAATAATTCCGTTAGGGTAGGCAGTGAGATGATGACATGATTTCTATGAATAGACTGGGCAAAGTTGAGAATCATAATAGTGTTCAAATGGATAAATCGCCAATGTGGTCCATAATGGCGTGATGTCGTCCTGTGACTTAGCACCACAGGCAGCTCGCACAGCACGGCGGAACACAGTAGAGAGCCTTTGGCGGTCCTTAGCGGACAGCTTCGTTACAAAACACGAACAACAGTACAAAAGATCAGGTAGAATGACTGATACAATAAATTGCCTCCTGGCCTTCCTGCTCAATTGCCGAAAGGACCGACGAAGAACGCCAACCTTAGCACATGTCTTGCGAATTACAAAGTCAATGTGAGGCGACCACGTTAGGCGGTCATCAATGATGACCCCCAGGATTCGGGTGCTGGTAACGCGGGTCAATACCTGATCGTTGAGTGTCACAGGAACAGACAGGTGCAGGGGGAGTTTGGAAATGACCATGGCGACAGTTTTGGCAGAGTTGACTGACAACCCTAGGTCCGCAAGATCTAGAGCAAGCACTGAAAGTACCTTGTTGACGGGGTCGACAGCTTCATTTGGCGACCTTCTACTGGCATACAGCGACATGTCATCCGCGAACATCGGCAGCCTGCAGGAAAGAGCATCAGCTGTGAGCGGCAGCTTCCGCACATATAAATTGAAGAGCACAGGGCCCAGAATGATGCCTTGAGGTACGCCACTGCAAGTAGTAACTGGTACCAGAGGAGACGTTCCGATGTAGGTAACCACGCGCTGCTGTCGTCCACGGAGGTATGACTGCAACCAAGCCAGGGCTATGCCAGAAATACCCACGGCCGCGATTGCGATGAGAAGTTGCTGGTGTTGCACGGTATCAAACGCCTTCTTCAGGTCAACGCAAACAACAGCTGTATGCAGACCCGCTCTTCGTGACTCATTCCCAACGCTCGCTAGCAACAGCGCACCTATCGATTTGTTTTAGAAAGTTTTCTATTTAAACTACAGATTCCTCCTTGTTAACTCGTTAGGTTAAGCAGCTCCATTGTACATGTACATGTATATCAGGTAAAAGCCTTTTAAAATAGTGAGTTGTGTGATCTGAACTTGTTCTACATGTACATGCAGTGCATACCGGCACATGTAACTGTAGATTTAGTCAATTCATAGTACAGTGTAGTGGAAGTTGCACACGTCGCGTAGAGAATCGGTTAGACCGAGTTTTCCGCATCCGTTGGAATATTTTGGTGGGTCTAATTAAAGTGGTCAAAGGCCGAAAACCCCATTCACTGTATCCATACGTATCTATGTCAGTTCGGATCTTCCCAAGTTGTACATTGTACTGTTGAGATACCGAATTCAAATAGATCAATACCATACCATATCATACCATCCATGTTTCCCTCGTCACAGGCCAAAGGTTCTCAGAATGGTTTGGAAAAAACTTTCGGCCTTACAAACAGTACTTGAAACTGGCACCCTCTGTCATTCTGTTTCTCAGTCATGGTCTAAGTATATTCCACTAGCTGGCTGAGACCAAGCACCAAGCTAGCAAGACAGGCAAGAGCTAGAGTATCAAATATTAATTGTATGAAATCCTTGCTACTTTGCGAAGGTACATTTCCAATATCCCAGAAGGACTGACAGGCAACATTGTGGAATGTTTTCTTAGCAGCGTGTGAAGCAAGTCTCATCAAGTTCAAATATGGCTGCTGATCAATAATGATGGAAGCAACTAAAACAGCGACTGGCAATCATTCAAAGTGGGGAGAACACACTCTCTGAAAAGCATTCCGACTCGGCCACACATCAGGCAAAATAACAATTATTGTACTTAGCCCTCAAATATTGGAAGTATTCCCAGCCATCCTAGCAGTTCTGTATCAGGTGGGATTGCTCGGATTAAAATCCACTGGCCCATATCCTGATCCTGATCCATGCTCGTCTGAACCCCAAGCATGACTACAAAACACAACTTTACTCATTGTATTATTTTCTAGGTCTGTATTAAGTCTTGCAATTCAGTCTACATAATATGTCAACAGTTATTTCAGTGGTAGATTGAGCTCATCACTCACTTCATTTTGCAAAATAAGCAGGAGCGTAGCAGCAGTGCATGGGATGTGTGGGTTTGGATCATAACGATCTGGAGTTCAATTGTGTTCAGCAGGAATACAATACAACTGTTTCACGAATGTGCGTTGCACGGATCAACAAGACAAAAATTCGGTAGAAATATTCCATTTTGACCTAGCACCTGATTCAAAACTAGAGCTATTTAGATCAGCCAATAGGGTTCTCCATGGGTTTACACAGGAGCGCATGCAAAGGGGAAATTGCTTTCCTGCGCGTTGCGCAAGCTCAGCAGTTCACTCAGTCCTTCTTGTTTCTAATGGGAGTGGAGAGGTTGAAGATCTTGGCCCCTTCGCTATAGTCCCTTCCTGGTACCTTCTCATTGTCAGGTGGAAACATCTCTCTCTTCATATTGTAATAGCCTTCGCGCCTATCACCATCCTGGAGCGGATTGAACGTCAAATAGAAGATGCGCCTG